ATTTTTGTGAAAACGATTTTTATCATAAGTTTTCACATAAGATAAAAATATGTCGTAAATTTTTTTGTGAAAAGGTCCACTGATCTGTAGGCCATGAAATTCACAATTTTGGAAGAGACACCCTTGCTCATCATAACGATGTACTTGGTTTGTTTGCTTAATACACAGGAGCAGAGAAGAAGATGTTCAAAGAAATATTGCACTTTCACTAAATAATCAATACTACCCCCGACCCTTTACCTCTGAAACCCTCATCCCGAGGCAACAAATTTCATAATTTTGGAAGAGACACATCGAGTTCATCTGCTTTATATACATGGGAGAGAAAATGATATTTTTAAAAAAGTGTCATGGGTAGTGAAAACCCAGGTCTCAAGCGGGACTCGAACCAAAAGCCTCTGGTGTACCGTGTAAGCGCTCTTACCACTGAGCTACTGAGACCCGATATATTGACTGACTTTCATACACCTGTGAACCCGTTGACGAAAGTATGCCTTTCACTATGTGATCATCAAAGCCCCACCCTTACTCCAGAACCCCTGACTCTGGGGCCATGAATTTAACAATTTTGGTAGAAGGCTCATGCAGTGCTTATTACAACCATGCCAACAATTTGAATGCTTGATGTCCATTAGTAAAGAAGGAGATTTATAAAGATAGCACTAGTTTTGATGATTTTAGCCCCACCCCTAAGGTCCCCGTGGGACCATGAAATTCACAATATGTGAATACTAGTATATTTTTATATCTAAAATCTATTTATTTAGTAAGTTGTGCTGATTAATTTATCAGTGAAATGTGCTTATTCACTACTGAGAGCGTCAAGGCAACGAACCCTAAGTGCAATATGTATATAGTTATAAACTCGCTGACATGTAAAGAACATATGTCAGTTAATGAATGTGGTATTGTTCAAATGTATGAGGTAAAGTGGCGATTTCTAAGTTTTCACATTTTAGTAAAGCTGTTAAAAATCTTGCTGTAACCAATGCATTTCAGTGGGGTTTTTTTCTGAATACAGTCTCTTGTATTAAATACTAGGCCTATACACAAGATAAGAAAAGCTAATTTTTACAACAGAATGTGCTCACAAATTTATCAGTGAAATGTGCATTTTCGGCTTCTTTTATCCTTGATGGTAATTATAATGGAAAAAGAGCACTCAAAATACTTTATGATTTATAACATAGTATAACAGGTATCAAAATAAAGTTGCTAACGTGTAAAGAGAAAACGTCAATTAATGAAACTGATATTTTTCAAGATTTTACAAAAAATGTTAGGATAGTATATATACACAGAATTGATATTTCTTAGATGTTAAATTTATGAAGCTTGTTAATTATACCAACACTTTCTACAGAAAGTTCGGGTATATTGTTATCCTGTTCCGTCCGTCTGTCACACTTTCTTCTTCCCAATTTACCCCTAAATTTTGAGCAGCAGCCAACTCATCTTTTGGAATATGAATGGTGGTGCCCTGTACATGTGTCAAAATATTTTGAAATTATTATTTTCACCCTAAATGGGGTAAAAAAAAAACGTTTTTCTACAAAAACCTAGTTTCCTGAACTCCTCTTACATTTTTCACAGTAACCTAAACATTTTTTTGAATATATAATTGGGAGTGCCGTGTAGAAGTGCGATAAAGATTCGGAATTTCTATTTTCATAGGCCCTAAGGGCGATTAGGGGTCAAAAACAACGTTTTTCTACATAAATCCGGTTCCCAGAACTCGGGATAAAATGATTTTTATTTCTAATGTTAGGAGATGGAACTGACCCCGGGGTGTCTTCAATGTAACGTCAAGCAGATTGATATCTTTATATTGCAGGTTATATTGTGATCATTTCTAGTTTCAGGGGGTGAGGGTGGGAATGACCTCCATAGGTCATGACTATATATACCATTTAATGCATAATGGCACAAAGAACAAGATAATGTATGGTAAAGGGAGAAAAAGTTTTCCTAAGTTACTTTTTTGAAATATATGATCATTTTCAGTTTCACGGGCTGGGGATAACCGCCTGGGGGAGTCATGACTCCAAAATGGTTTAAGGGCTTTCAATTTTAATCAAATCTTATTATTTCAGGCTCCAAGGAGAGGACGATGGAACATGACCCCAGGGACTTGGTTCAATATAGACTTACTATGTAACTTGCATATGGTACCTAATAATCTCTGATCCCTTCCAAGCGATAGATATCTAACCATTTAAAATTCAGAATCAGATTAATGTACCCATATAACCTTTTACAATGACATAATATACTTACCGCCAGTTACGGTACTTAACATCATAGTGATAATCCCATTTAAATCATGTTATAAATTCCTATCAGATCGAACATTACAAAAAGAATAATCCTGTATGTTTACTATACACCGGTACACCACATGCAGCCCAATAAGTACGGAAAAAGTACTAGACAAATTTACACGTAACTTCACGCCAGGCGCGGATCTAGAAATTTTCTAAAGAGATATATTACAATGACATACGAATTTTTGTTAAATAATTTTGTGTTATCTCTTTCACATGTACATGTATATGACAGGAAAACAGATGAATTACGCGGGGAGGGGGGGGGGTAAGTTGAGGGGATTTGGATAAAGGATTTCCGCACCCAAATACCGATATCATTTCTGAAAGCTGTCTTTTGGGTATCTAAAATTTTAAAGTTCATCAAAATCGCTATACACTAAAATAATTATATTCACTATGTTGACAACCACGAGTCCAAATTATGGACCGAAAAATTGACCCCCCCCCCTTTTTTTTTAACACAAAAATCTTCTTTCTAAAACTTTCTTTTATACAGAAATTATTACATTAAATTCTGTAATTTCAGACCGATAATGAAGTTGTTATATAAAATATTACATAAGAGGCCCATGGGCTACAGACTCACTTGTGCATTTTATGCTCAAATTGATATTCATTTTGCGTAACTTAAAGAATCATTGTGGCTTCTTCCTGGTTACCAAAATATGAAGGAGAGGATATTTAGAGGCAAACACCTATGTGCGGTTTTTGCTATATTTTGCAGCCAATGCTGCACATGTAATAGTCTCAATAATTAGTCGATTATTGTAAGAGCAGGATTCGGAGTGTATCAAGGTTTTTGCAAATAGGGGATGCAGTAAGTATAATTATTGGGAAGGGGGGAGATTGCCCATTTCCTTCTAACACAAAACCGTGTAATTTATACACAATTTGGGAAGAAATCCAAATATGTTGCTTTGTGGTTTAAATATACATGTAATGACATTTTATCTTAATTGGATTTAGAGTGAAGAATTGATGCTTACGCCGCGGGTCCCACTTCAGGACGTGGAATCCTGTCTTTCATCCCGATCGAGGTCCTAGCTGTGTCGCAGTAGGTGATGGTACAAAAAATTAAATCCGCGTTTCTCAATGGCCATACATGTACATGCCGAATACATACCTTCCAACAGAAATCGGCGGCGTCCCAGATTGAGTAAAAAAAAAAAAATCCCGAAGGGATGTAAATCAAGCAAGATTTTGTGTTGTAAACAGGCTACATGTAATAGTGACTTTGAACCAGTAGGGAAATTATCAGCAATGTGCGCATTCAATATTAAGCACAATATCATAAAAGAGTGACAAAGACTATTTGGTGTGTTCACTAGTATTTCAAGCAGTATACATATTTCTATATTTTGAATTATTGTATTTATACGTAATTTATCTAAAAACTGATTTACCCGATTCGATCATCTGCTCAAGATATATGTACACTAGTTTTAGCTGGTATTTCCTCAACATTGATTTAGATGAGGTGCACAGCATTACCAGGCATCATAACATCGACAAAGTCGCATATCTAAGCACCAAAGAAAACTTACAATTTCTTTATATTTAAGGGATTTATTATTTATGTCATTTCTATTCAAAGTCAGTCAAAAAATATATATCAATCCATGAATCAATTTTTTCTTTGTGTTACATGTATGTATCCTTGAGTTAGGAAGTTTTCACATTTTTTTTTTTTTGAAAGTGTGTATATAGATAATCCAAGAAAGACTGACATGGAGGAGATACAAAGTGATCTCCGTATGTTGACCTCGGATATGAACTTTTTACTTTAACCCGAGTGATAATTGCCTTTCACAAGGCAATGAAAGATAACTCTTGCTAGCAAGAGCAGTAAAGATTCATGATCTACTCAGGCCCGTAAAACAAGGGGAAAAGGGGGGGGGGGAGGGGGTGGTACTTTTGCCAATATATACAATGTGAATTTACAATTGTACTTTCTAAATAATAACGTTTGAAGACTTTATTAGTATATATATATATATATATATATATATATATATATATATATATATATATATATATATATATATATATATATATATATATATATATATATATATATATATATACATACATATATATATATATATATATATATATATAGGGGGTGTCAATATTTTTGTTCAGTTGTGCAACCATCCCCGCCACCCCCACCCCTTGTGATCCCCAAAGGCACCAAATATACATTTTGAGAGTACCTGGCAAATTATCAGTTTAAAGAGAAAAAGGAGAGAGAGAGAGAGATTAGGAGAGATTAGAGAAATGTCTTTACACGAGAGGGAAGCAAATTCATACACAGAGCGCAGAAGGAAAGAGCCTTTCTTGCATGAACAGATGTACTATCACCCGAGGTGTTAGATGAAAACGCGAAATAGGATGTTGCTTTTATATGTTACTGAGCAAATTAATCGATATTTACAAATAATGTTAGTCTTTTATACACCAACGCTATTTCTGTATCGATCTTTTAGAAGTTTCAATTTATTTGCACAATCATGAAGAACTGTTCCAGAATTTTGCAGAATAACGAATTCCTGGATTGCTCGTTTACAAAGAATGGCTTTTAAATCATAGAACAAGCAATATCTTGGGAGAAAACTACCGTGATTACTGAATATTTTAGTAACTTAGACGTAGGAAAAAATCGTGATCGGATGTCCCATATCCCGACCCAGGGTATTGCCACACTACCAATAAAATCTTCTAACGTTTAAATGCTACCACAAACATCACCACTCGCCATTTTGGATCAGATTTATATAGACCTCGGCAGACGACACTAAAGAGCTAGGATGCCTAGTACATACAAGATCTATTATTTTAATGCAAAGGGGAGAGCTGAGGTCAGCCGTTTGATTTTTGCCGCCTCAGGGATAAAATATGAGGATGTTCGCATAGAAGGTCCTGATTGGCCAAAAACAAAACCAAGTGAGTCATTGATAGATATTTTTTTCAGATGGTAAAGCTACACGTATAGTTCAGTGTACATGAATGAAAGTTGGCACCGAAACTGCATGTCTAAGTTTAGATAACTTGCAGCTAAACGGGAGATCTGAATTGTTGTCTTTTTGCATTTTCACATCATTAAAAAAAGGAACTTTAACTCAAAGACATTTTACCTCTTCATTCATATTTTCAAGATATTTATCTTCATTTACGGAACACAAGCTTCAAAGGATTAGATCCGCGCCAGTTCCGTTTTGACATTCATTTGATCAACATTTTTTGATATTATCAAAGTCACAGCCTCTTACGACATGTAAAAATATGATGTTTAGAAATTAACAACTGAATGCTGGTGCAAATCATAAGATACTTTCCTTTCTTATATGAAAACTATGAAACTAACCTACCATATGCAAATGTTTAACAAGCTAATATTTAATTTCAAGTTAAGGATGTCGATACGATTCGCTTTATTGAATCTACATATGGCTACAAATATTTGTAAAAGGGTGTTTCGCACATATTTGTGTCGGTGGGTTTTAAATGATAGCGTGGGTCAGTTTGTATTGAAATTATACAAATGGATGTATAGCGATAGCTTTAAATTAAAAAAAAAATTGTGCTCGTGTTATTTTTCTCCAAAGAGTATATTAATGTAAACATTCAGTTAAACGAACTCTAAACACTAATGGAAAATACTTCGCTAGATGAATTACATTACAAAAAGACTAACACACTGATTTTTATTAATGAATACGAGATTACCTTTTTTCCTCAGGAAAAACATGTTCAAAGACAGAGGGACGTACATATATAGGAACAGAAATCAATGTTGCTTGCATAAATGAAGATAACGCATGGTCATACAAATACATGTAACGTAAAAAAAAAATTAACTAATCTTGTCCTTGTATAATATTAAGAATATTCAGATTGATTATAAATTGTGTCCTCACAGTAAAATCAAGTCTATTCTAAACTTATTTTAAATCTAAGGGCAGATCACTCTAAATGCAAAAAGTTTCATAGAACTAAAAGTCTTTGGCGAGTTCCTTAAAATGTTTATTCTGATTTCTATAAAACATTTTTTTTTAATTTGTATGATTATTCATTAAATATATTTATTTTATTGATTACAGTAAACTATCTGTAGCTGTACTTTTACTTTTGACAAATCAGTATAGCAGTGTCAGTGTGTACAATATGATAAAACCTTTCAAAATTGCAGAACTTTCCGTCTTCTGGAAACTGGAAGACTGACCTAAAAAACATTTGAGACATCAAACAGTATTTGATGCTCTTTGCTGATTGAAAATTTTACCCATGCTTTCTCCTATAGAAAAAGCTCCCCCCCACCCACCCACCCCCACACACAATTAATACAGAACACTCAAAAAGTGATACTATATCAATTACAATAAATAAATAATACCTGTCGCAAAGCAGATACATTAAGATATTAAATGCTTCATGATTCAAAATTAAAATAATTTCAGACATATTTGATGTGAATTTATTTTGTAGCAATGCCTCAAGAGGCGATGCCCGTGCTAGAGGTCGACGTTAAAAAGATTCCTCAGAGTAGAGCCATAGAACGCTTCCTGGCCCGGGAGTTTGGTAAGTCACTGTGATGCATGTATATACATGTATACGCTGACAGTTGGACCCCACCCCCCGTCCGAATTCGGCCGTATAGAACTCCTTTTAGTCAAGAGGTACAGTAACATATCATATATTTAAGGACAGAAAGTACCCCTTACTGTCCTGACACAAGAATATGTATATCCTTCAGACTTAAATTTATGTATTTCACACAGAATATCCTTAAAATTTGTTTTATCTGTTTTAGGACTTTATGGTAAAACGAATATGGAAAGTTGCTGTGTGGACGTGATATATGAAACAGTCAATGATTTCTTTGAAAGTCTCCGACCTGTAATGTTTGAAAAAGATGAAGCTAAAAAGGTAAATCGTATATGCATGCAGCTCTAGGTAAGGTAACAATTCAGGCGGCAGCAATTGGAGTTGTCTCCCGTAGAGAATACAACGTTAGAAGGCAAAATTCTTACATTCCATTTTTTTATGATGCATTACACAAACATAAGATATTCATTCATGTTTTGAAAAAGTCTTAAAATTGATGTGTTTGAAAAATGTTTCATAAATACTTTAATGTAGAAATATGTTAATTATGAGCTAGGTAGACGATCATTTCGAAATTTAGAACATGATACTGGCAATGCTATAAATTATGACCCTTACTGTATTTACAGGCAGAGTTAATGAAGAAATTCCATGAACATGTCCCCGTCTACATGAAAAGAATAGAAGACCGCTTGTCGCAGAACGGAGGGGGGAACGGGTTTTTAGTCGGGCCATCGGTGAGTAATTTTTTTTCAATGATCGAGTGCATTAACTAATCAATTAATAAAGAAAAAGTAAAGTAAAACAAAAAGCACCTAAAATTTTAAGTAAGACACAAGTGCATACAATACTTGGCCAGTTAATATCAAAGACTTTTTTTTTCTTGTTTTTTTTTCCGTTTTGTTTTGTTTGTTTGTTTTATAACGGAGATTTCTCTGGGAAAATATAATCTAATGTCTTTCTATGTATTAGAATCTTAATAAATATGTTTTCAATTAAAATTTTGGAAAGCTCACTATTGTAACACTAAAAATACTTTTAAATCAACAATCCAAATAGCAATCTGATTTTCAAAAATCTGCAAAATTACGGACGTACTGCACTATTAAGGAAGAATACGGCCTTGAACAATACGTTGCGGTGGACTTGCCAAAATCAGCTAGATCTACAATGGCGCAATTCCTGAGTGGGGTGCTCTCATTGTGTATCGAAACTGGTCGCTATCGTGGAGAACCAATTCCAGACAAAATATGTAGTCTTTGTGATTTGAACGAAGTAGAGGATGAACTTCATTTTCTATTAAAATTTAATCTGTATGAAAACTGTAGACATGATTTTCTAAGAAATGTTGGAATTTCAAATTTACGTAATAATGATTTAAATGTTCTGTTCAATTACCTATTATCTCATTTACCATGTCAAACTTCAACCCTCATATATAATGCCAATGACCGTAGGAACCGGGGGCACGGGGGGGGGGGGCGATATATAGAATACTATAGAGAACATAACTACTATATGCCTGTGTCCCCTCAATAATAACGTCTGATGACCTTTTTTTTTTTTTTTTTGTCTTTTTTTTTTTTTTTTTTTTTTTTTTGCTTGTCAAGGAATTTTGGTAGTTGATAGTGCCCCCCAACTGAAAATGTGTGGTTGTGCCCCTTCAAAGTTAAATTGCTTCCTACGGGCCTAATGCCTATAAGAAAAAGAAAAATCACACGTATGTAATAAATATACACTGTATAATATTGCAAAAAGTGACTTATAGGTCCGATGGGCCGGGTGTTTTACATAAAATTATATGTTTATTTGTCTAATGAATGTAAAATTATTGTATGCACAAGTCACTATAATAAAATATTTACTTATGTATTTATAAATAAATAGTATGATTTAAACTAAACAATATATATACTTGTATCATTCTTCCTGTACACGTATTTACATGTATATTTTAATGTTAATTATTCGATCAGGACACAAGATTCTCATTTATCGCCATCACAATTTTTTTTTTAAAATCTAAATGTCACAATCTAATAACGTGTTAATTCTCTGCTATTTTACGCTTTATTATAGCTGACTTTTGCTGATTTGATAAATTGATAAATTTCTTCTTAAAATCTCAGAAAATTTACAATTTATTTTATAGTTGATCAAATATTTCTGAGGTCCTTATTAAACTCTCTGATATTTTTACACTTTATTTTATAGCTGACTTTGGCTGATCTGACATTTCTGAGGTCCTTGGATGCTTTTGATAAATTTGGGCTGAAATTAACAGACAAACTGGAAGCCTTGCGAAAAAGGATTGAAAGTCTACCAAGAATTCAGGAATATTTAAAATCAAGACCAGTAACAGAATTTTAGACTCTGCAAGAAGTTACGTGCATCATGATTAGAAAAAAAAATATTTATAGCCATAAAAACTTTTTATTAAAAAGAAAGTATTGACATCCACAAATATTTTCATTTTTAACCTTCAGTTGCATTGAATCCAGGCTAGGAAGACTTTGTGTTTACATTTTTTTTTTAATCTTTTCGTTTACTATTTATTATTTACACCTGACAACACTGAAAAATTTGAATAAAACCAATTTGAGATACTTATTTTATTGGGGGGAATTACATTGTATTATTGTTATGCAATTATTCACATACGAAGTATCCAGAACTAAATCGCATAACTTGAAAATTGTTCCAGTACTCCGTGAAAAGGATTGTCTCCGTTTTGATGAATTTTCTGAAATTAGGAATTGATGTTTAGAAGCCATTCTGACTGTACGTACATGTTTTAAGTGTTTAGATAATCATTTGTCAAATGATCATTTTATTTTCAATACTTTTAAGAAAGACAGCAAACTCACAAAAGGTCTAGAAAATAAACACATCTTTCATGATGAAAACTTTGGTAGTCAAATTTTATTTATAAATAGAAAACCAATCCATTCTTTTTAAAAGAAATTGCAATATATTGTGTCAATTACAGCTGCAATAATATCAATGTATCCTTGTACTTCACATTTTTTGATACATGTTTCACGTATAACGGACTATTTACAATACATTAAGAGCAAGGTTTTAACACGTGTTATAACGTGTTGTTGAAAATTTTTAAACGTCGATCGTGCTGCAGATGTGGTGTACAGATCTATATATTGAAATGCCCATGTGCATTTTTAAACGTTTTTATTATGAAAGAATCTGAAAGATTAACACTAGTAAAGAGTAATTGGTCTCTTTTCTAGGTATTTTCTTATGTTTGGGCTTTCTGCGATTCTCTGTCTATGTGCCTGAAGTTTAGGAAATCCCTTGATAAGATCTGGATAATCACGCGTATGAATCTCCATGACGTCATACACGGCAAGGTCACCGAGTGTCAACTGTAACACAATTAAAAACGATATAGAATTTTCAATTTAAACAAATTTTTTTAAAAAGAATAATAAAATGGTATAGTGATTTAGGAAAAAAAGTTTTAAGAGTTCAACTATATTCAGTATACAATAACAAAAATTATTGTAAACGTACACCGTCTCCAACCATGTAGCCCGTGGAGTTGCTAGAAAGTGTATTTTCGAAAATTGTCCAGTATTTAGGTACGGTCTCTTCTATGAGCTTTTTCTGCAAGTCTGCCTATATTTCAAGAAAGCAAAATGCGTTTTTTATGTTACATGTATGTCGACACTTCTTTTCTCTATAGAAAAATACGGTATAAGAAAGAAAAGGCTTCAAAAATCTCTGCACGGGATATTTCACATTACCTTTAAAACTATTTCATTTTGCTTTTGTAAGTATCTTTCATACCTTCTTTGATTCATCCTGTTCTCTAAAGACCTTGACCCACTCCGCCCTCAAATCTTCTGTTGTCTGCAGGATTACATCGCACTTCGCATTTTCAAGATTATTTTTTCCACAAATGCCTTTGAATGATAAAAGATTGATGAATTTTTGTAATCATACGTGAAATAAATTAATAGACGTTAATTTCTTCACAGCATCATTGACAGAAACCGTCAATAACCATAGAAGAAGAACTTACCAAATTCTTTCGCCAAAAATCTTGCAATTGCTAAACTCTGAGGTAATGTGACTTTGCCATCTATTGTTAGAAGCGGTAGCTGTCCCTGGGGTGTTTCTTTATGAAAGAAAATAACGTACCTCAAAATAAAGAGTCAAATACATTCATCATTTTCGAACCTATTTTAAAGCAAGATTAATATTAATCGGATGAGTATTATTTACACAGTAAAGCAAGTTATCTGTACTCATATAAAATTTTTCATACATGCATGATTATCCGAATTTAAAGAAAACTAACCTATGTTTAAATTGCACATAGTTTCAGCATGCATTGCGAGGCAAAATTTGAAAGAAATGACCTTAAGCTTTTGACAATTTCATAAAGGAATAATTATAGTCATTTATCCCAGTTAAAGTTATCTCTCTTATCATAGGATCGATGAACCTTAGAAAGGTAACCCCACCCACCCTCACCCCACCTCGTCCCCTATCATCTTCGCAAGAAAGTGGAGAGAAAGCATTTACATTTAGTATAAACAAACTTAAAAAAAATAAAGAAAAGAGTAGAATAGCACCCATCCCCCAACCCAATCATATGGTATTGCTTTTAGGACTGGCATGCGATATCTTCCCCGTTAAAAATTCCCTGGATCCGCGCCACTGGATTGATTATATTAAGGTAACTTTTTAATTTGATTGACACATTACAGAAATATGTCCACAAAAATCATTAGGCGATCCATCAAACTGAATTATTGATAGAGTTTGATTTACATTTATTCAATGCATGTGCAACGTGAGTTATTTTCTTATTAAAAATGAGTATTAGCGTAAGATATAGATAAGTAAGATAGTGTTGCCAAGCTTGTGGAATTTCTATTGGGGTTAAGCATGTTAAGTGCCTCCATTATTGTTTGCAAGAGGGTTAATCTAACTCGATAAAAGAACGCAAAAACGTAAACATTATCTGTCACTAAGTGGGAAGGTGGCATTTTTCCCCAAAGAGAAAAAATGAAGATTTTTTGTAAGCTAGTCCATTCGTTATCTTAACACAAGCATCACGTTATAGACTGAGACAAATGATAAACGATTATGTACATCGGTTACATTTAAGTATTTTCTTCTTTTCATCCTGTACAACAATTCTATAGAGATCGTCATTCATTCATTGGACATCGATCAGGCTACAGGTGTATCAGAAAGAGTCAGCGACCAGAACAAACATTCAGAATATTTTAACAATTTATCACAAATAACATAAAAAATAGAAATATATTATCAAGAGACCTTTTTTTTTTACATCTACAAAAATCCCAAGGGAATCCGATATAATAAAACCGCGAAGTATATGGAAGTGCAGTTTAATATGATACACATATATAGCATTATAGTATTATATATCAGATGTGTGTAATGTTATAATCATTTTATATAGTAGTTATAATATAATAAAAGTCCTTGAAGGAAAAAATACCTACAACATTTAATAACAGTCATAAGAAATGAGCTACATTGTACATTTACAGTATTTTTTTATAATTAAAATAAATAATAAATAAATAGAGTAAAACTACTTCACTTATTTCTAATAACTAAAAATAATAATAATGTGCTTATTTCTAAAATTCTAAGGATAATTGTTTCTTACTTGGTTTAAGTGCTGGCCACTCTTCTCGTTTTATTCTGTCATCAATGTAAGATACATCAGCAGCGGCAAACACCAAGCGTGCAATTTCTGCTCGTCCACGAATGTCAAAATAAGTTAATTTATATTCCACCATATTACATCAACAACGAAAGAAGTAATAAATAGGTTTAGTAGTTTTGTCAATATATCTATTTTTTACACCTACATTTACGTTTCACGACACTCAATAATTTAGTGTAGGTTAAATGGAAGCATGGTTTCCTGATATCGTTACACCGGTTTTATTTACAAACTATAGGGGCTCCAGAGGGCTATCTAATTTAATATTAAGCTCATCGTTAACAACTGTAAAATTAAATTCATAATATATTGGGAAGCATGAATTGCACTTCCGGAAACAAATTTTAGAATGATTTCACCATATCCGGTATAGATGAGTGTTAAGTGTATTCTTTTTATTTCCCTGCATGCATTAAACTTCCTGTTCCAAACCTTAAAATCTACAGCATTTACTAGGAGATTGTGTTGTTGACATAGAGAGCTTATCACAGCTATTAGAAAATCTTGTCAGATACCACGGCAAACAAAGTGACACAATTAGGTACTCCTAAAGTTATTTCTGAGAGGGTTCTCCTTTACGAAGGCTTGTGTCGTAAGTTGTGATGCATTTCAAGTGTTTATGGTTTAATTAGTTGCGAATAGCTTTGATTGATGTCGGTCACTTACGATAAAATGACGAGGCTTAGTTTCGAGAATGTTCACGACTTTGAATTGGACATGCAATTTTATTATTCAGTAAAAGTTATTTAAGAATATGATACAGGTTTTTGAAAATTGACCCCTTTTATGTCGAGCTTTAATACTTCTAAAAAGAAGATTTTTATCTTTAAAGTAATATGCTTGATATTTAGATTTACATCAAATGCTCAATGAGCTAATTAAGGTATGTGGTGCACATTTCACATTTTTGCGTGACTAAAACTAGTACATGTAAAAATATTTTTATACATGAAATACGTGGAGATAACGAACAGCATTCGAGCTCAAAAGTAACAATGTAACAATGCAGAAGTTTCAATGTAACAGCTACACTCTATGGAGGTGAAAATTATCGTGGTTTCAACTGATTTTTTTTTTTTTCTAAATCAGGAACAACTTGGGAAGTTGAGGGTGTGAACTCGGTAGCTCGTAAAAATTTTCCTGATTATTCTTTGCTTGAACATTTTTTTATTTTCATTTTTTCACAGTTTTCATTCAAAGAAGATTGATAAACAAACTTATTTGATTTAGTTCTGTTGTTCATAGTTCATTGTATTTTGCGGCTATAATACATCAAAATTTCAACAATGGTTAGATTATTTTTTTGCCTAGAATAACCAATTGCAGGGTAAAGCTCCATGTCAGATACGGAAATAGTAAAATCCTTTAATCGTGCAGCTCAGATGTGGGCTGGGTATCACAATTTACATTAGGTGACTCAAATGATTTAGAAGGCAGACTTTCATTGTGAAAGGTCAGAATGTTGTATCAACTCGTGTGATTATATATATATATATATTTATCTACTGAATGCAAAAATAATGTACGTATCTTCTGTGAAATCAGTGAGTAAAACATGTTTATCAACTATTATTAAAACATATGACAGTAACTGTTTGAGTCCAGATTTTTTATTTTATTTTATTTTATTTATTTATTTTTATTTTTATTTTTTTTTTTTTTTGTTCAATGTTACGAAAAATTCCAGTTTCTTACCTATTAATACTGGTACTTTACTCTGATAGAAACACGATTTTGTCGTGATGAAATAAGTTATCATAATAAACTGAATTAATATTTATCAGATTATCTCTGCCTTCAGATTGGCTGGAATCCCTGTACCTGAATAAATAAGAGAAAATAACATGGTTAAACAGTTTTTCAACGAAAATTAAAGACAAATGTTGTGAATGGTTGTTTTATTTGTTCAAGTGCATTGAAATTATTGTTCACTATCAGAAGTGATGATTTATTTTTGATCGGTATTCATAAAATACATGAACATCCTTAATTATATGAAATGATTTCACTACGTCAGATGACGCACATTCATCTGTCGCGAATTAGGTAAAAAAAAAAAAAAAAAAAAAAAAAAAAAAAACTCAAGCAATGTTTCGATAAAAAAACAAATTGATTCGTGGCTCATCATTGTGGTATTCGCTTAATAAAATTTTTATCATTTTCAAAGGATTTTAAGGACAATTGCACTACATAATAATGCCAACGAATTGATATAACTCTCATGAATAAAATCTAATCGAAGTTTTATCAAAAAACTTCCTTTTAAAGTCACATGAATACCAGAAACATTTCCGCTTTGGAAATATATATCAATATAAATTATCTTGTCATATCTACACTATCAAAGACACGTTTTTAAATACAGGTAAATTTGTTTTGATTTTTATCTTTTTCGTCTCCTGTCAGCATCAATGATCCACGATTTAATAATAATAAAAAAGCGCTCAGACGATAGAGTTTTGTACTTTTTCACTTTAATTACATTGGTTCGTCGCTTTGTAATACGTTTGTCAATCACATGTACGTATTTGGTATTTAATGATAAATTCAGGGTCGTAAATTTCTCGTTCTATACGAATCCATGACGGAACGAATACACAATTTCTTTATTTCATTTTTTAAGGAGGATCGTAGGAGAGATCTGAAATCTTTGGGATATTACGTGCTTTTGACAAAGTCATCAGCAATTAACATCATTTCAATCAAAGGTTCCAGGATTTTGCCCCGGATGTGACTTTGCATTGGCCAGAACCTTTACGAAAAAAAATGTGCTTCAAGACAATATGACGCATCCAGTTTCAAAAATATTTTACTCGTAACTTTTATAGAACAGAACAGAATATTTATTTCTAATTTAGAGTCCTAAATAGACAAACATGAAATGACTGCGGTGATTAGTAAAAGACAAGCCAATGGATAGGATACCAATAAGTACATGACATTGCTCATTTTAAAAATGATCTTATGATAATACCATATAAGGTAAAAAAGAATACAATGTATAAAAGTATGACTACTATAACTTGTTACCTTTTATAAATTTGCCCACAAAGTTAAAGATTTCCTTGTATTCAGTATTTAGTAACCAAAAAAGGTTTTGTTGGCTATCTAAAGCTGAAATATTTGGAAATTTGTTTTTATTTACTTGAAATATTTCTTTTCTTTGGTAATCTTATTTTTCATATGTTATCAAAAAACTGAGTTTCATCATCTAAACTGTTATAATTACATCTGATACATCAGCGATCTTTTCTAAGGATGATGGTAAACCTATCCACGCCAATTTGCAACTTATGACAGGAAAATTCTTAATTTACTTAGAGCTCCTCTGTTATAAAATTTTTAACTTCATCTAAATAATTCTCCTAATCCCAATTTTGTTTGAGTTTCACATACGTGCTTAATTTGCCATCAGTATAGCTTTGTTGACTTGTATACCAATTCTTTTTCTTCCAAATAAGTAAAATAGGGTTTTATGACAGACTGACTTAAATTTTGCTTCCCATAACACACTCGTTCATCTCTGATATTCAATATTTTTCGTAATTTCTGTATAAATGCAAGCCACGAGTGCAAGTGTGTTATCATGCCTGATTGTTTTGAACATTCCAAGATGCTAGAATTTAATTTCGGTGACCTTGAGCTAAGATCATGATTTTGTACTTGGATATTTGCAAAAGAATACAAAAGATTGACCCCACGTTAATCAAATGTGTGCTTAATGTTTGTATCTTTTGATATTGTAAGTGTATGCTACAGAAGATAGCACACACTTTAATGAAAGGTTTGCTTAAAATTTGTATCATAATATTGTAAGTATATGCTACAAAAGATAGGACACACTTTTATCAAAGCTTTGCTTAAGATTTGTTTCTTATGGTATCGTAAGAATATGCTACAAAAGATTTAAATGAAATATGGAGATAATGTACAGTAATCAAGCTCAAAAGTCCATTAAAACAATATAAAACCGGAAGCAGAGCATACACGGACCTCTAAAAACATCAGAGGTGGGATCAGGTGCCATGAAGGAGTAAGTATCCCCTGTTGACCCGTCACATCCGCCGCGTGCTCACTGGCATGAACGGGCATACGGAAAAAATCCATAGACAATTAGTGTTTAAATAATGGCCTAACAATTAATTAGTATGAAAAACGTCAGTCAACAATCGACGTAATGAAAGATTGTATTTGCTGACAAGGTCATTGTATTGGCCATAGAACTTGCAAAATGATGACTTTGAACGAGATTGTTGACATCCTTCTTTCATTAACTTGCTTTTCAGTAGCTTGCCTCGTTTTAGAAATTGTTCATACGTAGAGCATGCTCTTGCGTATCGAATCAACTGCGAGATATCAACTCCATATGCAGGTGATAAGGGTATATTGCTACATAAGTAAGGAAAGTTGACGATAAAAATGTTGAATTCATCACGTGTATCATAATTTTTTGTTTCTTAGTTAACCATTAACATCTTTTTCTATTAAAATATCCAAATATAATATCCAAATATAGAACAGATATACCAGACTCTGTGGTATCTTTTATTTCAAGTTCACTGGGAAATATCGAGTCGACTTGTGAATGGAAGTAACTATTTTTAATTGATTATACGTCGTCAAAATATCTAAATGTCGAGTTAAAGGCCACAGCAAGTGTCTTCTTCTCATGTATAAGTGTTTGAATAAATTCTGCCTCATAACTGCTATCTGCTAATAACGGGGCACAATTGTTACCCATTGGAATTTCGTCATATTGTTGGAAGACCAGATCTCCAAAAGCCTGCATAGATATTGGCGATCAGAAACTCAAGCATTTGTTTTGATATCTACTTCAGAGTACTTGTGTGTACAATCAGAATGTATTTTAACAAAATGATTTTGAAAATGACCAATGACAAGGTAAGTCAATTTCCGAGTTCCATTTTTATTGAAAAAGCAGCTGTCTATGATGTCAAGAAGGTTGGACTTTAATTTATTGTGGGGAATGGTTGTATAAGGTTTTGAAAATTCGTGCGTTTTGATGTTATTGATTTTGGTAAAATTTTGTGATAAATTTCAAGTTTTCTTAAAGTTCCTAGGATTTTTTGAAGTATCCACATCTAATTTACACCATTTCTTGAATATATTGTTT